CCCCAAAACCCCAAAACCCCAAAACCCCAAAACCCCAAAACCCCAAAACCCCTTTTGATGATTTAAGGATTGGAACTGCTAGCTGGTTAAAAATTAAAGTTCAACTTAAGAAAAATGAAAGGCCGAATAAGTTTGCTGCTATGTATGTCAGTAGCACTGCTCCATTTAGCAATAATGCTACAAACCACATCAGCAACCCCTTGAAAGGCATTAGTGCTTGAAGCTGGAGGAGATAGAGGAGCCTACCAAGCTGGAGCATTGAAAGGACTTTACGAAGGATTAGGCAGTGAAGGAATTGATTATGATGTCGTTTCAGGAGTTTCCATAGGCTCAATTAACACTATTGCCTACTCTATTTTCCCCTCAGGAGAAGAAAAAGAAGCAACTGATTGGATGAGTAAGTATCTTAACGATCTTTTAATTATTATAATTTTGTTCATTCTGAGTATCTTCTCACCGATAATAATGATTGCTCTATAGTTGAATTTTGGGAGGGCATCACTAGAGAGAATGTGTTTGTGAATTGGCCATACTCTGTCCCAGAAGGACTATTCTACCAAAAAGGATTGTTTAATACCTCAGTCTTCATTGATTATGTCAAAGAGATCGCTCCAAGACAAGAAATCTTCAGGAAGGTGACGCTAGGAGCAACTGATTTAAAATCTGGAAAATTTGTGAGATTTACTGAAGAATTAGGTTTCGAAGATCTTGCTTTTAAAGGGGCAAAAGGGTCATCAGCTATTCCTGGTATCTTCCCAGCTGTTGATTTCATGAACATGACTCTTGTTGATGGAGGAGTAGAAAATTACCTTGATGTTGCAGGTGCCATCGATAGATGCATGGAAATAGCCGATACTGACGAAGAAATCACTATCGATGTGATTATGTGTAATGGAGATACTCTAGATATCGTCGACACCTCAGATTATAACACAATAGACGTTGTAATGAGGTATCGAAAAGTAACGAAGTATCGTGAAGAAATGAGATGGATTAATGACGCACTTGTGACCTTCCCTCGTGTAAATTTCAGATACTTGGTGATCCCAGAGAAGCCACTAAAAGGAGTTCCTATTCTCTTTAATAAGAAACATACTAGGAGGATGATAAATCTTGGAAGAGAAGATGCATGGAAAGCAATTGAAAAGGGACCTTACACTCAATTCGATAAGATTAAAGAAACAATGGAAGCAATTCAGTCATAAAGAAAATTTGAATTCATCTCCATAATTATGGAAGTGATTTTTCTCTAATTTCAACCAACCAAAATTTGATAGGGGTTTTGGGGTTTTGGGGTTTTGGGGTTTTGGGGTTTTGTAAGCAGAGATGAGGT